CTATCCAGATAAGAGACATTTAGTTCTGAAATTCATGTCAATGTAGTCAATGTGTCTAGGACAAATTGTAAGTAGTCTGGATGTACTTTCCTGCTTAATATTTTTTCCTGTTGTCAACATTTTTAGTTGTTTTGCTGCTGATAACTCGCTATTTAAAAGGCATTTTCCATACACCTCCTGAAACATTAAACTGAGGTCCTGTCGGCCTGTTCAAATGAATATTAACAATCCATGGTACTATTTGAAAAGAGAAGGGAGTTTCTCCTGGTGTCCTGGCTAACAATCCCCCAAATAAAATTAGTCAGTCATCTCATGGCTATTTGTGGGACAACACTGTGTGCAATCGCGCTGCGTGTTCGCGTACAAATACACAGTCACAGCATTTCACAGAGTGAGGTGAAGTGCTTTGAGATGTCCCACTGACATGATAATCCGCTGTACCAAATGCAAGGATTATCATTATGAATGGCACCCTGACCAGGTGACATTGTCCAAGGACAATGCTGATCTGAAATTCACAGCAAGGAGGTTGAATGGAGAGGAGTGGTCTGTGACAATGTACCACATGAGATACTCCTTCACAAATTCATGTGATTGGGTCTTAGGCAGAAGATGTGGACATGGATTCCAAATGCAAAACAAAATTACATTTGTATGGCACCTTTCACATAGGGTCAGATCAGCTCCAAGGAGGCCCCACTTACCTTCCTCCCCAACCCCTTCCCCTGCCAAGGAGGATAGTAACAAGATGGTCGTTTGACATCCAACAAGCATGGTGGATTGTAGGGAATCTGCCCGCAGCTCGGGCCACGCCCCTTCCCACTGAGCGATGGTTCCCCAGTTGGAGGTGTGGAGTTTAAGCAGCAGCTGCTGGCCTCTCTGCAGCCAATCACGGTGGGGTCCAGGTGCTGGACGTACAAACTCTGATCCAGGTAACGCCTTCCAGCAGCTGTCGCCCCAAGTCTCAGAGTTTCCTCATCAGCTATTTGATGGACATTTGCCTTCAGAATAGTGGGAGGATGTTTACAGGATGGCTTGGGACGTGCCAGCTACCGTGATGTTCTCGAGGTCCAAGTGCAATGCCGTGTAGAAAGCTTATTCAGCACCAGCTGCCCACTCCAGGTCCTCATGTGAGGGGTCTTGGCAAATAGACGTGCCCACTGTGAAGACGCCTCTGCCTCCATGTGCTCAGCGACAGGTTACTGTAGGTCGGAGCCCTCGCTGACTGCAGCCACTTCCCGTGTTTGCCACAAACTAATCTCACTGCTTGATCCTGGACTTTGCTAATGGGCCGGAGGAAGCTTCTCCACTGCATTCCCAAGAGCTCAGATCCATAAAGGAGAACAGTTTGCTCACAGGTCTGATACACCATAAGCCTGACCTTAGGACCTTGATATCCTTCAAGAGGGATGAGCCTGACCAGCGTATCCTTCACCCCTTCTCAGTGCAGTCCCTCAGGATAGTGTCCAGGCTGAAGTTGGTGTTGACCACGACCCCCAGATACTGATACAAATCAATAGTTGGGACTGTTGCTGCTTGTATCTTCCAATCAATTCCCTCGATGTTTGCTATTGAGCTGTGCATAACCAGGATTCCACAGTTGGGATCACCCACCACCATGTCCCACTGGTTGGCCCAGTGTTCAAGATGGCGGGTGCAGCACAGAAGCGCCCCATGTGAGGCTGCCAGCAGCGCAATATTATCTGCAAACGGAAGCCGCAATCCTGTCAGAGAGGCCTAGAACAGATACACCAAGTCCTTCCCCCTCAATACCATCCAACACATCATTGATGAACACATGGCACAGGATGGGTGACAATGGGGCCTTGCCTTACCTCCTTTTCAAGAGGGGTGGGCTCAGTGCGTCCACCATCGACCTTTACACAGATGTTGGAGCTGGAATACACATTCCGGATAAAATCGAGAATTTGGCCATGATCTCCCATGTCTCCCAGTTTCATCATGAAGGCCTAGTCAAAAGCCTTGCAAAAGTTGATGAACATCCTCAGTCTTACAGTGTTCTGTGATCTCATACAGAGCCACGACCTGTCCCTCACATTCCTCACGAAAACAGAAGCCAACCTGCTCCTTCCTGATCACACCACAAACCTGCAATGTGTGTGATACATGTGCAGTGACTCCCCAGAGCACCAATTTAAGAACCACTGAAATTAGTGAGACTCCTCTATAGTTATCAGTCTTACTAGGATCACCCTTCTTGTGGATAGACCCGGCAGTAGTATTCTGGAACACTGACGGAGTGCGTGCTTCAGAGAGAATCCTGTTGAACAGCGCTAGGAGGTTGGAGGTTTCAGGTTTGGATCTGTAAGATCCTCACCGTTCTCCATTTCCCCCCTCAGAGCAGCTTTTAGTATCAAAATAGTGTGAGGCAGCAATAAGAAAGTAAACAGGATGCTTGCTGATCAGTTGAGTTCAGATCCCCAGAGATCATGCTCAAGTGGTCTGGTCAGGTTCTGGAGGCTGGACAGCGGAGATCTTAACAGTGGCAGGATTACTCCCTATTGATCTTTTGATACATCTTAACGTTTGGTTTGCTTTACTCACTGCCACAGAGCATTGTCGCAAGAGCTTCAATTTATTGTCAATCAGGAACCCCCAGGTCCTTTCATTTTCCATATATATTATTTTCCTCCTGTTCAAATAATAGTTCAGTTCAAATTGCTTGATTTTTTGTACTTTACATTTCTCCACATTGAATTTCATCTGCTACCAGTCTGCCCAATTCCCAAATATGTTCAAATCCTTGTGTAACATATCTTGTTCAGCTTTGCTATCTACCACCTTCATTAGCTTGGTGTCATTTGTAAACTTAGCCATTGTGCTTGCAACTCCTAGTTCCAGATCATTTATAAAAATATTAAACAAAGAGGTCTCAAAATAGACCCTTGTGCAAATCCACTGGTAACATTTTCCCAGTCTGATGATATTCCCTGTACCAACACCCTCTTGGTTCTTCCAGTCAACCAATTACATATCCATTGTAGTATACTTCCACTGATTCCAACCAAGACCAGGATACTGGATTCATTTAAGAAACAGTCTGATGCTGTGATGGGAGTATGGTCAAGTAGATATTCAGGATAAATAAGATCAAATGGGCTAAACAATCTTATTCATCTAAACCAATTTTGTGATCTTGTGACTCCCCTCTCCTGCCTACAAACGTTTCTATGGAGAAAGCCAACTTCTTCCCCATAGTGATGAGACAGCAATGAGGAACTCAACTTGTGGACTGTTGAAAACTGTTCACACTTGTGTCGTGAAGAAAAAACCCTGATTGTGAAATAATAATAATCTTTGCATTTGATATAGCGCTTTTCACGTCTTCAAGACATCTCAAAGCACTTCACAGAATTGACTGTATATTTGTGGGCGAAGTGCAGCAGCCAATTGTACACAGCAGCGTCCCACAAACGGTCGTGGATTGAAGTGACCAATTTATTGTTGTTTTTATGAGATTATTATTAGGCGTGTGGAGTAAGGAAACTTGCCCAAGGTTTCACCCTGCCGGGAATCAAACCCAAGTCTCTCGCTTGCAAAGTGAGTGTTCTAACCATTGAGCTACAGGACTCCAATGTAAATGTAAAAGATGGGTTTTAAATGTTTAGGTTAACAAAATAAGCACCTTTTGATGAGAAAATATAATTGGAATAAATCTAAGTGTTAAATCTAAGTGTTAATCTCCACAGGTGATAATCAATATCTAAACAAAACCAGTTTTTAAAAAAATCTAAATGGATTTACATATTTACCAAATGGAAAAGCAGACCAGCGATTGTTGTTCCTTGATAACACAAGCAATAGAATCCAGATTGTGTCACAAAATGTGGGAAGAGTTAGCGATACAATATAATATTATCAATAACTTAATTGTTTGTTTCTGCACAAATGAACCATGTGTTCTTATTGTTTGTTAAATGTCTTCAAAGCTGTGGAAAGTGTCAATGTACCAAAAATCTATATTTTTTTAGCCAGAGTTAATTAGAAAAGATGTGAGTCAGATGACATTCACATTTGCAGCCGATCAAACAGCTGGTCAAACAAGGCCAATAACCACAGGCCATTTCATCAGGAAGTGGAAAGCCACGTAAACACATTTTGAAAAGTGGACCCACTGTTGGCAGTGTAAGCAATAAATGAACTGTTTTTCTTGGTAGCCACTGATTTGTTCAAACTGCACCTTAGCCGTTTCGACCAAGAATGAATGAAAACTCCTCAGACGTTGAAATTCCACTGCTTCTTAGCTGTGAAACACATGGTCGGGCAAAATTATATAAAATTCTTAAATTCAGTCTTAACTGGGAAGCTGTTTTTTTTAGAATCTGCTGAAACTTTCTTCCAAGATTATAAATTTACGAATTTTCTATAATTCTGTGTAACAACAGTCTCATAATTTCAATCTTCAAACTCAGTCTTTAAAAATGACTAAATCTTTTCCATGTCAATTTCTCTTACTTAAGAAATATTGGAATTTTCAACTGAAACCCAATCAATCACCTCTGAGGTGACATTGTGGTCAATGTTATGCAGTAGTTCACGGTCTAGAACTATGATTCAGAGGCAATGGATTTAAGTAAAAAATCATGGAAAACAATTGCAAAGTGATTGATTTCTTAGGTGAAATCCAAAGTAAAGGCTCTTTGCCCAGGGTTAATTACAGCACTGATTATTGGAACAGAAAATTCCAATAATCAATATTTGGTGTGCTTTATACACTGCTATGAACATGAATTTACGTTCATAGCAATATGATCCAGATGTGTTAAATGAAATACAAACATTCAATTCATAGCCCCCGCAGATTATCACATTAATTGGTTAATTGGATTGGATAATCCAATCCTTTCTGCACATTAGAAACTTTTCAGGAACCATACAACTTCCAAAAACACACACTGACATTGATATTCCTTTGTCATGTTAAGTCTGACACTATGTACACATGGAGGGTTATTTGAAATACTATAATTTCATCCCACTGGTAGTTGTATTAAAGTTTATTTTCAGACTTTCTTAACCAATTCTGCATTGAAAATCCCCAACCAAATCCATCAAATCATCCTTGTTTTATTATTCCATGATTTCGCAAACAATCTATAAACTGCAGGTTGTGAAAGGTCATTGTTTCCATTTTGTCTTTCTTGTGATGCACTTCACATTCATCATTTAGTCAATAATTAATCAGAATTAAATCGTTATATTTAAAAACTATTATGAAAACATACATCTTTCCTTAAATTAGGGAGCAGGAGACAGGAAGATGTTAAATATGACAGCAAAGGCAACGCAGGCAACATAAGCTAAAATACAGGCCCAAAATCTTGGATCCTTTATGATGTTCTTATCATAGTTGCTGAAAATCACGTAGCCAATAGTCATTCCAGCCAGGCCACCTGCAATGTGAGCCACAAAGGAAACCTACAGGGAAGGGAAATGCATTGTTAGATCAAGTGCCACAAAACTTGGGAACGCAGTAAGCAAGAAGTGTGAGGTGATGTATTTTTGGAGAAAGAATGAGAGGTAATATACAATAAATGGTAGAGTTTTAAAGGGGGTGCAGGAGCAGATAGACCTGGGAGTTCACATACACAGGTCTTTGAAGGTGGCAGGACAGGTTGATGGAGCTGATAAAAAAGCATATGGAATTCTTGTCTTAAAAATAGAGGCACAGAGTACAAAAGCGAGAAAGTTCTGTTAAACCTTTGTAAATGACTGGTTTGGCCTCAGCTAATAGTGTCCAATTCTGGGCACTACACTTTAGGAAGGATGTCAAGGCCTTATAGAAGATGCAAAGAAGATTTACCAGAATGCTACCAGGGATAAGGGACTTCAGTTACACGGAGAGACTAGAGAAGCTGGGATTTTTCTCCTTAGAGCAGTTAAGGCTAAGGGAGATTTGATAGAGATGTTCAAAATTATGAGGGGTTTTCATAGAGAAGATTGGGAGAAACTGTTTCCACTGGCTGGTGGTTCAGTAACCAGGGCACATACATTAGAATACATGAGAATATACAGCACAGAAACAGGCCATACGACCCAACTGGTTTATGCCGGTGTTTATGCTCCACATGAGCTTCCTCCTGCCCTTCCTCAACTAAGCCTTAAACATAACCTTCTATTTCTTTCTCCCTCATGTGCCTCTCCAGCCTCCCCTTAAATACATCTAAGTTATTTGCCTAAAAAGCTCATTGTGGTAGCATGTTCCATATTCCCAATACTCTCAGTGTGAAGAAATGTCTTCTAACTTCCCTATTTGATCTATTTGTGACTTTCATATTGATGGCCCCTGGTTTTGGTCTCCCCCACAAGTGGAAACATCTTCCCTATGTCTACTCTATCAAAACCTTTCATCATTTTAAAGACCTCTATCAGGAAACCCCTTACCCTCCTCTTTTCAAGAGAAAAGAGTCCAAGTATGTTCAGCCTTTCCTGATAGGTATAACCTCTCAGTTCTGGCATCATCCTCGTGAATCTCCTTTGCATCCTCTCCAGTGCCTCTACATCCCTTCTATAATGTGGGGACCAGAACTGCACACAGTATTCTAAGTGTGGTCTGATCAAGGTTCTATAGAGGTTTACCATAACTTCCCTGTTTTTCATTTCTATCCCTCTAGCAATGAACCCCAATGCCTGGTTTGCTTTTTTTATGGCCTTATTAACCTGCGTTGCTACTTTTAGTGAATTGTGTATGTTTACTGCTAGGTCCCTTTGCCACTGCCCTCCCAACTTCCAACCCCTCCTTACCCTCACCCCACACAATTACCCATCCAACAATTACCCATCCCTCCTTTCACACCTTTGAACCTGTCACCCCCTCCTCTGTCTTCAACACGGTAACCTCCATGAAGTCCACCACCTGCTCCCTCGACCCAATCCCCACCCCTCTCCTTAAATCCCAGCTCCACCTTCTTGCCCCAATACACGCCAACATCATTAACCTCTCCATGTCATTGGGCACTGTTCCTTCTCCCTCAAAACAGCCACTATCACCACACCTGGAAGAAACCTTCCCTCGACCCATCACAGCTATCCAGCTCCCGGCCCATCTCAAATCCCCCCTTCCTATCCAAGGTCCTTGAGAGAGCCATTGCCTTCCAGCTTCGCTCTTTCCTCTCCTCTCACTCCCTCCATGAACCGCTCCAATCGGGTTTCAGTGCTGCCCACGGTCAAGTCACAAACGACATCCTGGCCATGTGTGACCAGGGCTTCCTCTGCCTTCTCGTCCTCTCTGCCCCCTTTGACACCGTGGACCACTCAATCCTCCTCCACCGCCTCTCCTCCCACCTCAACCTTCAAGGTTCTGTCCTTGACTGGTTCAGGCCCTACCTTTCACACCTCCTCCACTTCGTCGCGGAAAACGGCTTCTCTTCCAGCCCCCGCACTGTCTCGTGCGGTGTTCCTCAGGTCTCAGTCCCCTCCTTTTCACCCTCTACATGGTGACGTCATCCGCAGACATGGGGTAAATTTCCACATGTATGCGGATGACACCCAACTCTACCTCTGCCTCCACCCTGAACTCCAGGACTACTGAGGTCCTGACCGACTGCCTGGCCGACATGAAGTCCTGGACGAGGGCCAACTTTCTCCAATTCAACGTCAGCAAGACCGAGGCCCTCCTGATTGGCTCGTGCCAGCGTCTCCGCACCTCAGGCGCTGGCAGCATTAGCCTCCATGGCTGCACACTCAACCTCACAAAGCCAGTCAGGAACCTGGGGTTCTCGTTTGACCCTGAACTGTCCTTTCTCCCCCACATCCGCACCATGACCGGCACTGCCTACCACCACCTCCGCAACATTGCCAAACTCCGCCACTGCCACACCCCTCAGGCTGCCCAAACCCCCACCCACGCATTCGTCACCTCAAGGCTCGATTACAGGAACTCCCTACTCATCGGTCTTCCCAACTCTTACGTTCACAATCTGCAGATCATCCAAAACTCTGCAGCTCGTGTACTCTCACGCACCAGGCTCCGTGATCCCATCACTTCCACCCTCGCCCGACTTCACTGGCTCCCCATCCCCCAAAGGATCGAGTTCAAGATCCTCGTCCTCACCTTTAAGGCCATCCATGCTGCCAGGGCCTGAGGTGCGGAGGCGCTGGCGCGAGCCAATCAGGAGGGCCTTGGTTGCTGACGTCGAGTTGGAGAAAGTTGGCCCTCGTCCAGGACTTGATGTCAGACAGGCAGTCGATCAGGACCTCATTAGTCCTGGCATGCCCCCTTCTACCTCTCTGACCTGCTGACCCCCTACCAACCTGCCCGCTCCCTCCGTTCATCAGGTTCCGGCCTACTCCATGTCTGCCGCCCGACCTGCCCTACCACCGGTGTCCGGGCTTTCAGCCTCTCTGCCCCTACACTCTGGAACTCCATCCCATGGTCCCTTTGCCTCGCTTCCTCCCTCGCATCCTTCAAGGCCGGTCTCAAGACCCTTCTCTCCGACCGTGTCTTTAGTCTCCCTCCCACCTCTCTGCCTTCCCTCACCCCTACACCACCCCTCCCCCATTCTCGGGCCCCAACAGCTGACTGTTCAGCGCTTTGGAACATCCTCCCGACATGAAAGGCACTCTATAAATGTCATTTTGTTGTTGTTGCTCCTTGATCCCATTTAGGTTTTTATTTTCCAGGATGTAAGTGACTTCCTTATTCCTTCTACCAAAATGTACCACCTCACTTTTCTACATTAAAATGCATTTGCAATTTAAATGCCCACTCAGGAAATTTATTAATATATATAATAAACTACATAGCTTTAAGATGATTTGAAAAAGAACCAGAGGGGAGATGAGGAGACATTTTTTTTNGCACTGCCTTAAAGGATGGTGGAAACAGATTCAATAACAACTTTCAAAAAGAAAGATAGAATTATAGAATTAGAGAAGCATTCTAAAATAAACCTGAGGGTGAGTATATGATTGTACACCTGAAGCCATAATCATAGAATCATACAGCACAGAATGAGGCCATCGCCTCATCATGTCTGTGCCAGCTCTTTGAAAAGAGCTTCCAAATCAATCCCATTCCTCCGCGCTCTCCCCCATGCTCTCACCATAGCCCTGCAAACTTGTCCGCTCCAAATAATTATCTACTTCTCTCGTAAAAGCTGCTATTAATACTAACATTCACCCACAAAACACTTTACAGTGGATCCTGTGAAGCACTTTGGGACATCCTCTTGACATGAAAGCATTATACCAAATGTAAGTATTATTAAGAATAATTGTTACATTTGATATAGGACCTTGCATTTGATAAAGTGCCTTATCACATCGTTGAGATGTCTCAAAGCGCTTCACAGGATTTTACTGCTCCAGCTGTTAGTCAGGACACCTGGAGAAATTCCCTTCTCTTTTCAGATACCCCAGGGGATCTTTAACATCCACCAGAAAAGGCAGACAGGACCTTGGTTTAAAACCTCCTCAAATGACAACTCCTCCAGCATCAGTGCACCCCCAGCGCTGCAGTCATGACTATTAATTAAGGGGAATTCATAATAATGATAACTTAAAAGTTATTAACAACACCTTTCACATCAAATAAATGTCTTGAAGAACTTTTCAAAACATAATTGATTAGAAATGAAGTTAATTTTATTATATAGGTTGCACACAGTATTTAGGTACTTCGCAGCCACATTCCAGTCCATATTATTCCCCCAAATTTGCTGGTACCTTATAGTCCAAGGCTTACCTTCTGTGTGACGCTGTAGAACAATCATGAAGTTATGTAGTTTGGTTTGTCAAAGGGATTAAATGTGTCACAGCAGATGAAAGCAAAATGTCACCAATAACAAGGAGGGAAAGCCAAGAAAAGGGCTAATCTGTCCCAAAGCAGAAAAAAAGAAAAATACAGAATGAGAGGATAAGAAGAAAACAGCTGTAACCAACAGTAAACATCCACGGGGCTGGAGCAAATTACTACATAAATTAGACTTCAGATTATTTGTAGGTTTTCATTTCCTGAACATTCTGTCCTAATATTACAAATCACATTGGAAAACTTAACAAAAAGGTCACTATGTTTAGTGTTAATATGGTAGATATCCACTGTAACTCCACCTCTAGGATCTAGATTTTGAAGTATGATGGGTGAGTTGCCTTTGACTTAAAAATGATGCAGTATGGGTTTTGCCAGCATGAACCATATATTTGTAACCACTTTAATAGTGAAGATTGATGAAATTCTGTTAGGTTGACTATTATATAATTACTGTTATAATACAACTAGTCTGTTGTATAACTTTGTATTTTGTCTTTAATGGAAAATTTTTGAACATTTGTACTGTTATTATATATGTTTAAGTGAAGTTTGCTTCTGATTGTACCTGTGTGACTTTTATAACCTTGCTTGAAATGAATAGCTCATGTTTTTTCCTTATCTAATATCCTTACTCTATCTGGTATATCTATGCGGGAAAATAAAT